TTACCGACATATAAATATACAGACTTACAACTAATATAGTAAAAGATATGATATATAAATAACTTTCAGGTACAGTGGGTATAAAAATATATAAAACTAACTCTAAAGGATACTGTTTTTGGTTCTATTTAATTTACAATTTTGTTAAGCTTTTTAAAATATTTTATAATGTGTCCTAACTTTGTCACAGCAAATAAATAACGTATGAGCATTACGTTATTTATAATAAATATTAATCATACACCAACTATTAAACATTTTATTATACTTATTCCACATACACTTTTGACTTACTATATTGCACGATACCCGTTTTACACAATACCCTACACCACCATAGAGGGGCGGGTATTATGCATTTGTGCTGGTATTTGTAACACTTTAAGTATACGAATCGACTCAGAAATAATCTGAGTCCTTCTATTGATAATAAGTTAATTCGATCCAAAAATAAGGGAGATATGATACACTACGATGAATGGTATATAAGATACGGTCCAGCAGAATGAATGTCGAAGTGCTTTACGTGAGTACCTGCCGTGTTGGCCTATCTGGCCACCAACCAACCACTGGGTAGCCTTGAGAACGGTCCACCATTCAATCTTCAATGAAGAAATCAGGTGCAGGCCCATGTACAAGCACTTTGCTGAAGTACTCGAACTATCTAATGTCTGGCCATTGCTGCCTCGTTGCTTAACTTCCGAGATGTAAAACATCACTTACTCTTACAACCACGTAGATGGGATGGCCTCTGTTGAGTCGGTTACGTCAGAGACGTAACCGGTAGACCAAGGTACAAATCCATCAAATAACTTTGTTCTTACTCACAGTGACACTCTGTAGTAATTCTGATATGAACAGAGTTTACTCTGAACATATCTGGACAAGGAAGGAAAATTCAACCAAATTCAAATTCATTCAACCCAGCACACTTCTCATTCATCCGACACATTCATAAGAGAAACACATACCACACACTTAATCTATATAAACGTACCATATACAATTAACACCAACTCATTTCCAACGCTTAGTCCTACAGTCACTCCTCTGTGGGGTATGTGTTGTAACGGCAACAGCACCGAACTTATCCCGAAATATTGACTTTACCTTACATCAGTCCTTTAACCGCCACTTACTCTCCCCGCGAATTTGGGTTTAAACCACAGCCATTACGTGGATCCCGAAGGAATCTCAACGAACTGACCGGCCAGGACATAGTCCTGCGGGCAATTGGCCACCCGTAGTACCAGATTATGTGGTTATCTGGTTAGACCCCATGTCAAATCATACCAAGGACTAGCCGAGGAGTGAAGTGACATCACTAGTTTATAGTCCCTGCAGACTAGAGGTAGTGGTAGCACCTCTTTACCCCGGGATTGCAATACACCATGATGGGACATTTCATCATAGAAACAAGCCCCGGGGGGAGGTCCAGCAGAATATAGTCCTCTTTCCGTATTTATTGTAAACTTAATAAAAAAATTTTAATAAGTAAAAATGTATAGTCGGTCCTTGCCGACCATATGATACCCTATACCAGTGAATAGTATGTAAACAAATTTGGATTATTTTTAATAACAAAATATTTTAACAGTTTGTTGGCAAAAAAGTAATTTTCTAAAAGAGGCGCTATATGGAGGCAAGGGTCATTATGCGACTTTACTTAAAAATTTTGGCAGCGGTATTTACGTTCACATTTAAGTTTAAAGCACAATTTTATCGTGATACTTGTGTTTATTGATTTTTGAATTATTTCTGAAGGGACTTTGTATGGGGGCTAGGGTCAAATTACGAAAATCACCGGTAACATTCAAACTTACATGAAACTAAGTTGTGCCGATTTTGGTAGAGATACTAAAACATTTAACATAATTGTGCCCTCAAAAGCCCTTGAGGGGGTACGGTTGTATGGGGGCTAGCTGAAATAATGAACCGATTTTAATCTTTTTAAATTTGTCCCTGGGTCATACGAAAGGTTTCTTTGAAGTTTCATCAAATTATCATCAAATCGATTCAGAAAATTATTCTGAGCCGATTGGTATATATTTAGGTGGGTATAGAGCCAATATTTCAATATGTTACATATATCAGCACAAACCCAATATATCATCTACACTAAAGTGGTGTAGGGTATAAAAACAAATTATAAAAATAGAAAATAGTAGAAAAAATTCTGTACGAACTATCGAAACAAACAGTTTTCTATCTGTTCTTTTAAAAACTTGTTGTATATAGTTCCACGATATTTATAAACATATATCCATACGAGTGTTTCTGTTGATATATATTTTCTTATATGCACCTGAATTTAAATGGTTATTTGCATAAAACTTATACATTTGATGTATTTTGGCGGAAATTATGCTTTCATACTATTAGCTTATTATGTGTAGGTGTTTGTTTTGCTGGTAAGTATCTGTGTACGTTTACGTACACAGAAGCATACACAACGTACATACATATGTAAATCAGTGTATGATAGTGTGACTGGTAGTTTTAAGTATTAAATGTACTCCATGTAAAATTTCATGTTTTTATGCCAACAAAATTATGTAGAACGACAACATAAGCGGTTTCAAGTATTGCTCAAGTGTTTTATATATTAACTGGTGGTTTTTCGGTTGCGTGGGTTTATTCAAAACGTTTTAACTGATAAGATGAAAGTTGTTAATATAGAATTGTATGAAACATTTCTTACGTTTGTTTAAGCTATATTTTCAATTTATATTGCCAAATATGTTGAGATTTCAAATCATATTACAATAAATTCTCGATTATACCATGTATAATTTAAAAATGCACCAACACTTATATAGATTGCACACTTTTATTTATATTTGTATGTATGAATGCACATTCATAAATATGAACGTAGTACTTTTACAAGTTTTACTACATGTTAGAGTCCTCCTGTAATTGATGTGTCTGTTTGTCCGTCTATCTTTTGATGGTGGAGCAAGAGTCCTGAAATTTTCCACAAATATAGAATATAGGTAATATAGAATCACCATTTCACATATCCCTCCAAAATACCTCCTGGAATACAGAATATATTAATCTGTACTTGTATTAACCCACCATGAGCCATTTGCTTTCTAGAATGGCCTACGCTAGAGCACTACAAATCGACTATCAAACAGTAGATAATTTGGGTTTTAACAAAGTCAATAAATATTGTAAGAAAAGAGTCGAAATAATTGATTTTGTAAATAAAAGTAAAAACTTTTTGAAAATTTCGATATAAAATTTGATGTTTTCCAAACTGTAAACAAGGCGGAAATAAATTTTCACCGAATTCATTACTATACCAGGACTTATGGAAGGACTATGAAAAACATATACACTTACAACAATTTATATATGTATGGATATGTGCAAATACATAAGTGGCTCTTATTTTTGTGGTTATGACTCTAAATAATATACTTCTATTCAGTTGAAATAGTTCTTTAAATAAATCAAGAAAACTAAAACAAATACAGGCGTAATATTTCTCAAAACCCGTCAGGGAGTACAACCTGTGGTTAGTTTTGTTGAAGAAAAACATTTGAGTGTTATATTCCTTGGCTCTGTTTCTGTGTTTTGTAGTTTACTATTGTTGTTCTTATAAATTTTCTGGCTAACACCCACATATTTTTTGTATTTAACTTTTTTCTTTTTTTTCCACTTTGTTATATCAATGTCTAGTGTTCGTCTTTTTGTTTTTCTTTTTTTTTAACATTTTGGTCTGATTATATTTTCACTTGTCTAACTAAGGTGCAGAAGCAACATTCAACAGGCTGATTGTGAAGTCATCATATTGTATTCTATCACTAGTTCTACTGCCTGCCATCATCAAAAGGTCGGCTTTGCTTCAATTTTCATTTTATTTTATTATTTTCACTTTTGGCCAAAAAATGAAAAATAAAAACCAATGATGATGACGATGATGATGATGTTTTTTGTTACCGGAAATATACCGTTTGCTTGTTTTCCGTTTAGTTTAACTTGTGTATGCTTCAGTTCAAAAATATATTCACACACACACACACATACATATATCTAGTAGGTTAGTATGTATGTGTGTGAGTTTATACTCATACATACTTGTATAAATATTAATTTTGCTTATTTTTCAAACAATTACTCTAAAAATTTCCTGTAAGTACTTTCAACCATGTTTAGAGATGGATTATTTTTTTGAAAATTTATTAAATGATGGGATCACTTGTGTAATGCAGAACGTGAGTTGTTTGTCAAATTTATTATTTTAAAATATTTTCAAGCATTTATTTTTTTCCCTGTTATAGGTAATTTGTCGTTAAATAGGTGATAAAAATCAATGTGAAATTTTTGTTAATATTTGTCATGCTTATTTATTTAATGTTAGTATAATGGGGCAAAGTAAATTGATAAAAAAAAGTTGTCAATATAGAGGAAGATGGCCGTTTTTTATAAGTTTATGTGAATAGGTATTTTGCGAGTGATAAAAATTTGTAATTTTCTATGAAGAGTAATTCCACAAATGTCTTAATTTGGGACAGGTGTCACTTTTGCAACACTTTGTGTTTATGAAACTTGTGGCGATTTTCCAGGAATAAGTTGAATTTTTCACCTTTGTATTTAAAGGTTAAATCGGCTTGTTTTCTTTAAGAATTTCATTTTAATACTTTCACCTAACCAGACAAAATGTTAATGAACGGTTGTCTATTAAGGCAAGAATAAAAAAATATCAATTTACAATTATAAGCAAAAAAAAGTCGCCCATGTCCGAACATATTATACCCTATGAACTCAACTTTATGAACATATTTAAAATAGTTTTTGTTGCAATAATATGTTGAATTTTAAATTCGATCTAAGAAGTAATTCTGAGTCGATTCGGGGCGTATGAGCAATATTTTAACACAAACGCTATACACCCCTTTTAATGGTGTAGTGTAAAAAATACACATTTCTTACTAAATATAATGACAACTAATTTTTCTAATTTTGTTTTCTAACTTTATTTACAGAACAGTTTCACATTTTTGTGGGCGACTTGAGTGCAGAAATTGAAACTCAACAATTAAAAGATGCCTTTGCACCCTTCGGAGAAATATCGTAAGTACTAAGTAAATACCGAAATTAGAAAAGTAAAATCCCTTAAAATAAATCAAATAAACAAATTGTGTGTGCCGACTGAATGGTTTATATAATTTGATGAAAACAACAACAATAACTCAAAAACCATTAATAAATCAAAAAAAAATAAATGTCAACAAGATAAAAATATAATCACAAGAACTTTTATTTTTCTATTTATTTATTTAAGCAAGCAATGACCTATCATGGTCATTCATCGAAATAGTGCCTCCCACAACATTTCGAAGTGAAATAATTTGTTTTGTAAATAAATTTCATAATTTAATTATACTAATAGTATTTATGGTGATATTTTTGGCGATATATTTATGTTTATATGTAAAACTAGGTAATCAATTCTATATAAATTTTATAGGCAAATAATTAGAATAATTGGTAACAATATATTAAAAGAAAATCGAGGGTGAAAGGTTAACACTAACTAACTAATTTGTTTTGTTGAATATCAAATTTTAATGTCAATTATCGTTAACAATATAAATAGAAAAAATAATCAATATTTTCTGGAAATAGATAAGGTCTTTGAACGGCTGATGCGATCGACATAACGTTTTACATGGGAGCACTCAAGGAGTATTAGGTTTTATGTTTTGATAGGAAAGTATGAAAGTATTTAAAAACAAGTAGGAATGTATAGTCGGACTTGACCGACTATATGATACCCTACACCATGGGTATATTTTAAAAATGATTTATTTTTCATAAAGAAACATTTATGTTGAATTGTACCTTAATAAAAATAAAAGAGGCTTTATATGGGAGTTAGGGTTAAATATGGGCCGATCCTCAGCAAATTGGGAAGAGGGATGAAATTTTATATAAAGATTAGGTTAGGTTGATAGGAGGATGTATACTACATCAAATCCGAAGAAATGCACCAAGGCCACTATCGGGCCTGTTGTGCGCTCCTTTATATAAAGGTTAGTTATGCTTAATTTCATCGGGATACTAATGGTTATAAGTAAATTTTTGGACGTTTAAGTTATTTTTTAAAGGGGGGTTTGTATGGGGGCTACGGTCAAACGACGGGCGATCATTATAAAAATTGGAAGTTAAGGTTGTATGGGGGCTAATTGAAATAATGGACCGATTTCAACCATTTTCAATAGGTATCCTTGTGGCAAAAAACTCGTATGGTCCAAATTTGATCAAAATATCTTGAAAATTGTGGCATGTAGCTTGCGCACAAGGTTTACATGGGCAGCCAGCCAGCCGGACAGACGGACGGACAGACTCAGAAAATGATTCTGAGTCGATTTGTATACTTTAAGGTGGTTGTAAGACCAATATTTTATGTGTTACAAACTTCAGCACAAACGTATAGTACCCTACCCACTATAGAGGTGTAGGGTATAAACATGATTATGTTTAAATAATATTTATTTATTTAATAATACTTAAAGTGTAAAAAAATAAAATTCCCTTTAACTAATTTTTCAACTCTTACATAAATTAACAAATATCACATGGTTTCTAAGTTAAACATCTAATATCGCAGTAGTTGAAGCAACTCAAATAAGCCAAAATACAAACAAATTTCGGTTAAATGAAATCCATCAAAGTCACACACGCACACCAACCAAACCAGAAATCATCAACATAAAAGACGCAGCAAGTCGTCAGTCAGTCCGTCTATGTATATGCCAGTCAACAATATGGCCCATTAAATCGTACAAATATGTTTGTGGATTGTAGAAAGTCGTTAGTTGTAAGCTTTAGGCTAACAATTATACCTCTACATACTGTTCAGTAAACATTCGTTTGAGAAATATGCTTTGTATTTGAAAGGCTCGCTATCTTTTATATGTGCGAACGTAAGTAAATAAAAGACATTTTCTCTTTTTCGCTGTTAATTAATGAACCTCAAATCGTTTCTGATGCTTTAAAAAGATTTTCTAAACATTATGTAGATTGTCTTGTTGGTTTGACTTTTTGGTTTGTACAACTTTTATTAAAGAAAAAAGTGCTGTTTCTAAAGAATTTCGAAATTATCAGTCATATCGCTATATTATCTTAGAATACGAATCAATAGAGAATAGCGATAAAAATGTAATAATATATATATGGGAAATTTCGTGTCAAGTGACTCAACTCAAAATCGCTATAGCTGAAATTTTGTGTCTGGCCTACTATCCTCGGTGCAAATTTTATCCAAATCGGAAGACATCGATTTTAAATTTGGATCACTTGAAACGATATCGCCCATAGGTACATATATATATTCTTTTGTAGATCTAAATAAATTTAAACAAGTGAGAATGTTCGGCTGTGCATAATCTCATATACCCACCCTCAAACCTCAAAGGAATGCTCCCATATAAACATCAGGGTGATATTTGGAATGTGGCTTAAGTCAATTATGGATCGAAGTCTTTTGAACTAACAAAATATTAATTTTTAAAACAAAATATTTTTATTCAATTTTTAATCCTTGAGCGCAGGAGTAATTTTCTGAAGAGGACCTTATATGCGTCAATTATGAACCGATTCTTAAAAAAATTTTGTACATACATAGATTTTGTTTTGTATAGATCTTGTTTATGTCAAATTTCATCGCTATACTTGTATTTTTAAATAAGGAAAACTCGTATTTTAATAAGCAAAACCCTTTCCTGACGGAATGAAGAATTATGTTCCTTAATATAAAGTTTCTTATATCGATTTTCAACGCTGTACGCGTAGTTTTCTGAATTCTCCTCATCAAATTTTCTGAAGAGGTAGTTATATGAGGGATAAGGTCAATTACTGATCTATCCTCATAACTTTTTGTAGACCGATTTTTGTTTATATAAAACTTGTTTATATGTTTTACAAGTTTTATATATGTTTATATAAAACTTGTTTAAGTAATTTTCTGAAGGGGACCTTATATGAGGGGTAGAGTCAATTATGGACCGATCCACATACAATTTGGTAGAGAGATTTTGGCTCGCGAGAAACTTAGTGTGACAAATTTTATCGCTTTACTCGTATTTTTTTAGTCAGTAATGAGCGTTTAAGCAATTTTCTGAAGGGGGCCTTGAATGAGCGGTAGGGTCAATTATGGACCGGTCCTCACTTAATTTGGTGGAAAGATTTTGTCTCGTATAATTCTTACGTGTGTCGAATTTGATTGATATATACGTACTTTTAAGCCAGTAATAAGCTTTAAAATAATTTTCTGAAGATGACCCCTTATGGGGATAGGGTCAATTATGGGCCTATCCACATAAAAGTTGGTAGAGATTTTGGCTCGCGAGGAACTTACTTGTGTCAAATTTTATCGCTATACTCGTATCTTTTAGTCAGTAATGGGCGTTAAAGTCATTTTCTAAAGAGGACCTTTTCTGGGCGGTAGGGTCAATTATAGACCTTCTCACTAACTTTGGTAGAGAGATTTTGCCTCGCATAAAACGTATGTGTGTCGAATTTCGTCACTATATTCATATTTTTAAGCCAGTAATGAGCGTTATAGTCATTTTCTGAAGGGGGCCTTATATGGGGGGTATGGGGTACAGGCCGATCCTCAAAAAAATTGCTAGAGAGATTTTGGCTCATATAAAACATATTTATGTCGAATTTCATCGCTATACTCGTTACTTCTAAAACAGTTATGCCCGTTAAAGCTGTTTTTTGGGGGTCCACTTGTATGGGGGCTATCCAAAAACGTAGATCGTTATTGCTCATTTTCAATACCAGAAAATATTTTTATACCCCCATCTTTTTTGATGGTGGCTTTAAAAATTCGTTGAGATTAAGACTATAGTTTTTGATGGTTTTGTTAAGTATTAACATAAAATAATTGTGTATTATATACTATACTACAATTACAATTACACTTTATTTAATCAATTCATATCATATTTCTAAGTGTTACATTGAAACGATTTATTTTAAAAGACATCTTCCCTTCTAAACCACAATTACATTTTTTATACCCACGTCCATCATGAGTGTTAAAAGAGGGTAATATAAGTATGTTATTCGATTTGAAATATATTATTGTGTAATATATATTATAATATATACAATTATCGGTTCTTATCGTCCATCCTTCCATCTCTCTGTGAAACATACTCACGTTTCGATTGTTTTAATTGAAATAAAACTGGAAATTAACAATTTTAATAAAATTAGAAATTCGTTTCTATTGTTTTGGTTATTCCCGATTGTCGGGATATATAAAAAATTCTAAATATAGTAGGGTGAAACAAAAACACACTCGACCACAAATTGAGAATTTTTTTTTAGTTGGTTTGTTTTTGGTAAATTTTCCAATTAATTTATTATTTAAGATGGAGAGTACTTAAAATTCGACATAGCCGAATATAACACTCTAACCTGTTTTACATAAGTAATAAAATTCCTGCGAAATACTTCCTACTGTTATATTTACATAAACTGTTTCTTTAAATAAAAAAAAACGACCCCGCTAAGTTTGAAAATTTCATTATAATGTCATTTTAATATGAAAATTAAATAGCTGGACACCAGGTGTTTTGTCAGTTATGAAATAAACAGTTCAACTTTGAACACATACCAACACTCAAATTTTATATAATTTTTAAATAATATTCTTTAAATTTCATACAAAAAATATATTTTTTATATAAATACAGAGGGAAGATATTGAAGAGTAAGTAGTATAAAATTTTTATACAGACCTAATTAATCATCAAAATTTTACTATAACGTTGGAGTACCAAAATTTAAATTTACGCGTCAATTATCAATGTTTCTAATATTTCTCATATAATCCCTACTTAATATCATTCATAAAAAAGCTGTAATAAACTAAATTGGACACTTCCTTATTTAATATCCTATTTATGTATATTTTATATTTAATTGTTCAATGAAGGGACAAAAATAAAAAATAAAAGATTTTCAAACGAAATAAATTATGAAAGTATGAAAAGAAAAACACAACATTAAATTTATGATAAAAATGTTGTAAAAATAGACACCAAATAAATTTG